AAAAAAAAAGAAAGAAAAAAGAAAAAGAAGTAATTAAGAGAAGGGGTGGAGGAGAATTCAGTAAAAAATTCAATGTAGGGGCTGGGTTCGAATTCTCAATACTACATAAACAAAAAAAAGCCAGAGTGGCTCTGTGTCTCACGTGGTAGTGCTAGCCTCGAGCAAAAGAAGCTCAGGGACAGTGCTCAGGCCCTGAGTTCAAGCTCCAGGACTGGCAAAAAAAAAAAAAATCAATGTACACATTTTTATTTTTTTGCCAGTCCTGGGGCTTGAACTCAAGACCTGAGCTCTGTCCCTGAGCCTCTTTGTACTCAAGACTAGCACTCTACCACTTGAGCAGAATGCCACTTACAGCTATTTCTGAATAGTTTATTGGAGATAAGAGACTCATATAGACTTTCCTGCCTGGCCTGGCATTGAACCCTGATCTTCAGATCTCAGTCTCTCTCTCTCTCTTTTTTTTTTTTTTGCCAGTCATGGGGCCTGAGCTCTGGGCCTGGGTGCTGTCCCTCAGCTCTTCAGCTCAAGGCTAGCACTCTACTACTTGAACCACAGTGCTACTTCCGGCTTATTCTGCTTATGTGGTGCTGAGGAATCAAACCCAGAGCCTCATGCATGCAAGGCAAGCACTCTACCACTGAGCCACCTTCCCAGCCCCAGATCTCAGTCTCTTGAGTAGTTAAGATTACAAGCGTGAGCCACTGGTGCCTGGCAAAATTCAATATATATTCTACATTCAATGCAAGGGAAGGAATGTTGAAAGGGATGACGTTGTTCAAGATGCATTGTACACTGGGCGCCACTGGCTCACACCAGTAATTCTAGCTACTCACGAGGCTGAGAACTGAGGATCAGGGTTCAAAGCCAGCCTGGGCGGCAAAGTCTGTGAAACTCTTATCTCCAATTAATCACTCAGAAAACCGGAAGTGGTTGTGTGGCTCAAGTGGTAGAGGGCTGGCCTTGAGCTGAAAAGCTGAGGACAGCGCCCAGGCCCAGAGTTCAAGCCCCACGACCAACAACAACAAAAAAACAAACCCAAAAAACAAAAACAGAGGCACTGTACTCAAAAATTGCCTTGTCGAATGGCAACTCCTTTGTACAACTACTAAAGATAACTAAAAGTTGTGACCAAAGGAACAATAGCTCAGGATCTAATACCTTCCCTAGATGTGGTTTCAGAGAACAAAAGGCTTCGATGAGCACTGATAATCCAGTTTATCTGTCCACCTGTCCACCTGTCCACCTGACCTCACACGGCCCCTTGTGGATGGAGCTCGGTGACACTCCAGATGCTTGACTGCCACCTGCTGTGTGGCGGCGGTACTGCAGCCCGGGGGGCCAACCTGGGCCCCTATTGATTTGGACAGAAACTTTCCAGGTGGATTTTGCCTCCACCTTCTACCTGCCGGGATGGGGACTCACAGGCCGTCCTTCTGTCCCTCCAGGAGCACCTGGAACAGGGGTTTGTTGGAGGGGATGATCTGCAGAATGCTGCCACCCGAGCTCACGTAGCCGATGGCCCACTGTCCCAGGCGGGTGCAGCTAGGCCTGAAGATGTAGCTGGAGGGGCCAGAGAGGGGTGAAGGGATGCCGAGTGGTCTCCACCGTCCTTACTGGGAAATGCCAGCTCCCTCCAGCCGCCCCCCCCCTTCCTCTGCACCCCTCAGCCCCCCCCCTCCCCACGCACCTACCTGCCCGGCTTGTCCCTGCAGGACTGCAAGCGGGCCTGGACCTCGTCGTATGTGAGGAAGGCCATGTAGCCCGGATGGTTGACGGCCAGGAGTTGCCAGTTCTTCAGCAGCGTGGGCCAGGGCTGCGAGGGGCGTGGCCTGGTCACAGGGGGCGGAGCAAGGAGGCAGCCACGCCCCTCGCGTAGCTGGGGCTAACCTCCAGCCCTAGCCTACACCCCTGTGGGGCTGGCTGGGCACAGTAATCTTTCCAAGGGAGAGACCCACGACCCTGCTTTCCCCAGACCCAAGAGTCCGGGCCTCAGCCTCCTTCCTCAGACCCCCCAGGCCCCAGGACCCTGACCTGGAAGAGCCTGGTGAAGATGTCGAACTCAAAGATGGACACGTGGCCACTGCACGTGAGGTCCATGGTAGAGCGCAAGGCCTGGGCGGTGGGCCCGGCCTCCACAGGGTGGCAGGTGTCCAGCAGCGACTGGAACTCAGCCCAGGGCACCACGCACCTGGGTGGGGAAGGGAAGGGGGCTGAGGATGGGTGGCCTGTAGGAAGAGGCCTTCTGTTTCAGGAGTCCCTAGACAGGGGGTGATCACTCACCGGGCTCCACAGCAGCTCCTCCAGAAGGTGTGTGCGGGGGCCTTGGTCAGCTGGTACAGGTGGCCGTGGTATTTTCCCCCAGGGAAGAGTGTGCCCAGCTCTGCATGCATGTGGCTGAAGATGAGGGCCAGCTTGGCCAGCTGCCTCCTGAAGACATGAGCTCTGAGGACCCAGCTGGCCTGGGGCTCCCAGTCACATCTCTGTCTAGGAATCTCCACAAGGTTAAACCCCCAGACTCTTGTGTAATATATGAGTGCATTGTAAGAGTTCATTCCTAAAACCAGGTGCGGTGATACATGCCTGTAATCCCAGCACTCAGGAAGTCGAGACAGGAGAATCTAGAGTTGCAGGCTAGCCTGAACTACACAGTAAGACCTTGTCTCAAAAACAAGCCAGGCACCAGTGGCTCATGTCTGTCATCTTAGCTACTCAGGAGGCTGAGATCTTAGGATCTTGGTTCAAAGCCAGCCTGGGCAAGAAAGTCTGTGAGACTCTTATCTCCAATAAACCACTAGAAAACTGGAAGTGGCACTATGGCTCAAGTGGTAGAGCGCTCACCTTGAGCTGAAGAGCTGAGAGACAGCGCCCAGGCCCACAGTACAAGCCCCATGACTGAACAACAAAAAGTGACAGGCAGGCTGGGCGCTGGTGGCTCACGCCTGTAATCCTAGCTACTCAGGAGCTGAGATCTGAGGATTGCAGTTCAAAGCCAGCTGGGGCAGGAAAGGCCTTAGTACTTTCTTCTCCAATAAACCACCAGCAGGGACTGGGAAGGTGGCTCAGTGGTAGAGCGCTTGCCTTGCATGCATGAGGTCCTGGGGTCCATCCCTGAGCACCACATAAGCAGAAATAGCCAGAAGTGGCGCTGTGGCTCAAGTGGTAAAGCGCTCGCCTTGAGCTGAAGAGCTGAGGGACAGCGCCCAGGCCCAGAGTTCAAGCCCCACGACCAAAACAAAACAACAAAAAAATGACATGCAGGCCGGTCACCTGGGCTCAGGTGTTTCTAAGCAGCCACTGCTTAGAAAGGGGCGTGGCTCCTGCAGACTGAGGTGCAGACCTGCTTCTGGACTCTAGGTGCCCTTCCCTCCCCCACATTTCAGACTGGCAGAGTCCAAAGTCCCTGACACCTGAGTTCAACGGGAGCCCAGGGCTGGGCTGCTTTTCCATCCGGAAGCCTGTGCCCCCCACATTCACAGCATCTAAGGAACAGTGGGCATCTGGATCCCCATTGTGAAGAGACCCAGAAATAAGAGCAACGAGACACTGAGGGTTTCAAGGACGGAAAAATCTAGCTAGCTCAGTTTTCCTGGGTCCTAGGGAGGAGGCTGGGCTGTGGAGGATCCCAGGGAGGAGGCTGGGCTGTGGGGTCCCAGGGACGAGGCCGTGGGGGCCTGGGGCGTAGGCTGTGGGGGCCCGGGGTGGAGGCCGTGAGGTCCCGGGGTGGAGGCCGTGAGGTCCCAGGCGGAGGCCGCGTGGCGC